CTATCCCCTCTGTAGCCTGGTCGCGTGGTACTTACCGTGGGTACAAATCAGATGATGTGTCATCAGTGGATCGAGTCCTTGGCAGTAGATCGTGTATCCAAATGATTGCATCATGTCGATCCACTCTGATGATTACGTAATCCTCACTACTGATGACGTAATCACTGATGCACCGTCGTCGACTACGAGTCTCAGGGCTGGATCGGGTCACTTCCCATCAACCAGCTTCTTGTTCGCAAAAGCCAACTGTCGCTTCACCACATGACTGCTCTGAGTTTATCTTTTGTGGCGACAGCTCGCACACTCTTTTTAAGCTCTTCGTACTCTTGACGTGGAAATCTGCAGTCCAAAATTGCGATCCAACTTAAACATTTAAGCGCACAGAGCTAGCCAAAGTACGAGTAGCAAGTCTTGACTGCATCAACCAGAACTGGAACTCCATTGAGATCACACAGATTCTTGCGAGGGTCTTCGTCAATACACAGTTGGAGGAGTCGGAACAATGCTTGCTCGCAATTGGCATTATTGCCGCCCTGAATGGAATCAAGCAACACTGGAATGGGGATGTCACCGCTCTTTGCGTCGTCGTCGTCGTCGTCGGATATTTCCAAGGATTCCTGCGGATCGGGTCGAGATGGAGGGGAACGAGCGCTTTCTGTTGAATACGAGTCGTCTGGTGCTGTGTCGGGAGGTGTATTGTCACCGACTTGGGTGCCACGTTGAGAGCAAAACCGAGAGCCAGCTGCGACCATAGAGGAGCAATGATTGCAGTAGTTTTCCTCTGCTTCAGCATCAGCAAATTCCTTCAATTTGTCGATTACTTGTTGTAACGGAGGTCGGTTCCCACGCGTCATCATTCATCTCTTCCGGTTGAGCAAGGATGTTTCCCTTCCTCACACTATCGCGGACGTCGTCGTCACTTAGAAATGCAAAGGGAACCTTTCCAGTTGCAGCTTCAATCATGCACATTGCGAGCGAGTAAACATCCGACGCGAAGGTTGGTCGACTCGATAGACACTAGGGTGCTAACCATCTCAATCCACCAAGCACCGGCTTATTCGAATAGACCATTGAGCAAATTCGTAGCATACTCAGACCGTAGTCCGATAGCTTCGCTTGTCCGTCATTACCGATGTGGATATAGCCTAACTTGAAATTTCTATGAATGACGCCCTCCTTGTGAAGGTAATTAAGACCCAGAGCTGCTTCAAATAACAGTTGCCACATGCTGTGCTTGTTATTCGACTTAGCGAGAAACAATTCGAGGTTTCCATTCGCTGCGTCTTCGTAGACGATAGACGGCGGCGAACTGACATGTGAGGCTCCAAGCATTTTGACAATGTTGGGGTGGCTAAGTTTATGTAATGAGTGGAACTCTTTCTCTACCTTGATCCTCATACGCTCGTCCATTTCCATGTCGTCAATAAATAGGCGTTCAACCCCCACATTCCACGATGTACCGATCCATACAGTCCAATATCGAACGACTTTTTCGGTTGAAACTTCACATATGAAGGAATAAACCAAGGCGGTACGTCACCTACTTCTATCTTCGAAGCCTAAGTGATCGTCGCTATCATTGACTTAATACATTCCACAATTTTCTTGTCATGTTGAGCTATTCGCTGCTCCAGTTCGAACTTCAGCGATAACAATGCATCCACTTGAGCTCGCGAGCTCTGTAGATCGCGAAGAAGCACCTCATTGTCCCTAACTGACGCAATCAATACGTCTCTCTGGACACGAAGATCGTGCTCCCACTGCTCGCTCCAATTGACCATTACAACGTCAAACAACTCAAACAGCTCTGCGATATCCTCATAAACCTGCCGCGTCTCAACTGTCATCTTACCACACTCCAGAACTCGATAAACAAGCTCTTTTCCTTTACACTGATCCAAATAACGTAGTAATTTCAGCACTACCGTCACAAACTTATCCAGCGATTCTTTCGATGGAAACTGATCGTCGTCTTGCTTCGTTTCCAGTCCGTCCATGATGCACATTAGTCCAGAGTGCAGATGCCCACACACATTCTTCCTCTCGCTCATCTCACCACACAGCTTATAGATCGTAGTGAGCGCCTCCGCCAGCGTACCCGCTCCAGGGACGGCCAAGTCGAGCACAGACATCACCATCACTGCGAGAGCCTGACTCGTGCTTTTTAGGCTAAGCTATAAAAATAGACGGTTCAAATCTCAAGTTTTATATGTTCGAGTATTAGATGTATATCTTGTATACATTATTGCTGTATACAGAAACTCAGGTAACAGTCGTAAAGTCTAGGAGCCACTTTGCTACATGTGCGTGGCCTCGCGCCGTCGCGGTAGCCGCCAACTCTGCTCGCGAACGACCATTTTTGGACACCATTCCATTCGAGAAGAGGAACTGCAACACCTCTAGACGTCCGTACCACACGGCATTTTCCTCGGCGGGGCCGTCCAGAATCCGTTGCGAGTACAAAATGCGCTCTCTCCTGGCTCGTAACAAGCTTGAAGTGTTTGGTACGCGCATCTCCGCTTCAGCACGACGACGCGCAGCTGTGAGTTCCCTCGATGTGTCCACGCTCGCATTGACAGAGCAATATTTAGCTAGTGCCTTGACCACATCGAGATGTCCCCAGCGCACAGCAGACGCGAACGCTCGGCGTCGATCTCCCACTGTAACGTTCTCGTCCAGCCAGTGTACGGTGTCTGCATGACCATTTACTGCAGCACAATGTAACGCTGAAGCTGTGCATCCTTCATGGCGGTTCACATGCAACCACTGGAGCACTTGGAGATGGCCATTCATAGCAGCTCCGTCCATCGCTCCGGTCGTGCATCCTTCCGTTCTGTGGGTATGCAGCCACTGCACAATCTCCAAGCTGCCTTTGCGCGCTGCATTATCCATGGCGTATGGAGTGCAACCCTCGGTCCTATTTGCATGGAGCCACACGACCATGGGCAGATCGAGAGCCTCTGCAGCGCAGTCCATGACGTGTGGAGACCCAGGCGCTGATGAATGTTCGTGCAGCCAACGTACAATGTCAAAATGTCCTTCGATGGCCGCCACGACCATCATTTTGGTTGTCCAGCGGAACGTCGCGAGTTCCGTGTGGCTCTGTGCCCACTGTAGTATATCCAAGTGACCGTGTCGGGATGCGCGGACAATGGCATCTGTCACGTCCCAATTGCTCGCGGAGTAGTGCGTCACGAGCCATTGGAAGACTGTAAGATGTCCCTCCTCCGCTGCTTCAGCTACCGCAGCTGTAAACGACGCTCGACGCGCCAGATCCGACGGTGGAGGGTCCACGACATGCAAGCGGCGCTGATCGTGGGCGGCCACGCGCTTCACAAGTCGCAGATCACCGATGGAGCTCGCGTCTTCGAGAGTCCAGAGCGCTGAATAGTCTAGCAAGGTGCTGATTTCCTCGACAAGCTGTGGGATCGCTATTAACGCAGGAAAGGCGGCGTGCACGGCCGCCGAGACGCCCGCAAGCGTCTCCAAGTCCAGCGTCATTGAGTTGTTCTCAAGGAAACTGTAACAACCAATCAGAGAACGGCGACGGCAAATGTAGCCATATGATTAACAACTTCAACTTGGATATGCTTCAGTCATGCATATATGCTCACGTTCCCCAAGACCTTGCGTTGGCTCTTGCCGATAGCATGGAGAAAACGATAAGTAATAAATATACTAGAAGCTATCGCACAGGCATTTTTTGCCCCTGCGAACGTCCAACGCACAGGTTGGTCTGAAGTTACATACTCGGTCAATTCACTGTCCACCAGTCGTCGCGTTACGTTTTGAATGGATTCATCAGATGAGGAGTCTCCCTCACAGGTTCATTCTTGCAATCGACGGGCGACTACGTGATGGGGAACTCGAATAGACCCATGACAGCGGGGCGAGCGGCTTCGTGTGGTCGAGCGCATAAATCCGATCGACAGCTTGTCCTGGACCAAGACGTCGATGCGACCGACACATATGGCTACACAATGCTGATGTTCGCCGCCCGAGATGGCGACGTCAAGAAGGTGCGCTTCCTGCTGGAGAATAACGCGTCGACTGACATTCGCAACGGCTACGGGGCCACTGCGCTCCATTTTGCCGCGTCGTGGGGGCAGCGCATGATCGCTCGTTTGCTCCTGGAGCGCGGAGCGTATGTGAATGCTTTAGACAACTCTGGTAAGACGCCACTAATGCGAGCAGCCGCCAATGGAGACACCAAGCTCGTGCGCGTGCTCCTCGAGCACGGCGCCGAAACCTCGATCCGTGACGCCTTCGGATGGAACGCTGAACGTCTCGCTGCGAGTGCAGGACACTACAAAGTCTTTGTAACACTTCAAAAACACGAGCATCGAAGATCAACTTCGTCCCACGGGGCTTTGCGTTGGTCTCAGCGGTCCAGCGGCGTGTTTTCAGCCCTCAATCTGAGACTTTCAACCACTATGAAAGACGCCAAGCCCAGATCTGAAGTCGGCACTCCATTCCCGGCATCAATTGATCAACTGAGCAACCTGCCCGGATCAAATGGACTGCTACCGCTTCGAACAGATCCGTGTCACTTACAGTTATGAACAGGGACATTTTAAATTTAACTGCACGTAAATGTAGCCATTTTGTGTTTTACATGTTGCACGAGTGTTGCTCCAACGCCACTTGGAGTTTTTCGTATCCGGCGACGACTCTTGCCATACCTGCAGCTAGGAATGGGGAACGCCGGCGCTAAGGGTGCTAAAGGCAGCAAGGACGAGTTCACGTTCGACGAGAATGACGGTGGGTGATAGAGAAATTGACGTAGAACTTCCAAGTCCAAGCTCATAATTCCTTTGTCCAGACGAGGCCTTTACCGAGGCTCTGCGTGTGAATCTGCAGCGACTCATCGTCTACGCGCGTTCGGCCGATACGGCGCTGCAGCGAGAAGTCGCCGAGAAGCTGGCAAATGAAGCAGTTAAGCGTACGTGGTTGTTGCTACAGTGTCTGATGCGGCAACATTAAGGCTAACTGGATCGTGTAGCCGACCGACAGGTGCAGATTGTGGAGCTGGACGGACTGCAGCTGCTGCTGCCACTGACCAAGTCGAAGGACACGGAAGTGCAGCGTCTAGCAGCCCACGCACTTGCCAATCTCTCAGTCAACTGTAAGAATCGCTCGGTTGAGTACTGGGATAGTGCGATATATTGACTGCTTTAACTCGCTGTACAGCTGAGAACCAGTCCAAAATGGCCACGGAAGGAGGTATCGACATGCTGATTGATCTATTGAGCAGTACGAACGAGCACGTGCAGCGGCAGGCCGCGAAGGCGCTTGCCAACCTCGGTGTGAACGGTACGGTCGCACTGTTTTGAATTGACATATCCAGTATGCTAAGGTTAGTTGTGTTGATAGTGGACAACAAGGAGAGGATCGCTAAGGCTGGCGGCATTAAACCGCTCATTGACTTGGCCAGCTCCCGCCAGATCGGTGTAGCCGTCGAGGCCATCGCAGCACTGGCCAATCTGGCTGTCAACGGTAGTGACCAGAAGATGTGGTTTGTCTGAAGTAGTGTGGTTCTAACTTATTGAATTCTAGACGCCAATGAGGTCGAGATCGCACGTAAAGGAGGTTTAAAGCCAATTATCGACGGTGCGCACTCTGAATCCGTCGAGCTTCAGTCCCAAGTGGCTCGTGCACTACGCAACTTATCGGTCAATCGTACGTTGAAAACAACGGTGAAGTTATGAACCTCAATGATTTATCAGGTATTTGTTGTTACAGCGGAGAACAAACAAGCCATTGTGGAGTTGGGAGGCGTCGAGGCTCTGCAATCACTCGTACGTTCCACTAATGATCGGATATGCCAGCAAGCTACACGCGCCCTCGTCAATCTTGGCGTTAACGTAGTCGACTAACTGCAAGACCAGACCAGAAAAACACTTGAGAATCAGCCCATTACATGACACAAATCTCTTCATTTCAAGGTTGATATATCTCCATCTTGTTCCCTCTTTCTGTAATATCGACGGTGCGTCCCCTGTTTCCGTTATGAGTGACATTGGAGGCGACTTTCAACCCTCGGAGCGTGTTCAGCTCATGCTCCTTGTCGCCTTTTGGCTCGTTCTTCTGTCCTCTTGTTAGCAAGCCAAGACCCAGCGCCTGGAGCCCCTGTCACTGGACCCTGGGGCATCATCGTACGACGCTGCATTTCCGTCCCAATCTGGTCATGAACAACAAGTCAGAAGGGTCCATCTAACAAAAACTAAACCCACGTTTGTGTACCTCGTAGAAGGACGACATCATGAGAGCCTGTTCGCGAGAGTAAGAAGCGCGGATCTCCTTCATCTTTTTCTCTAAAAAGTCCACACGCTCCTGCTTCTCGTTGATCTGATTGCGGTGCGAGCTCACAGCCACCATATACTTGGTCTGCACCGCATGCAGCGTCTTCTTCGTGTAGTTCTCGAGCTTCGCGCGCTGCTCCGAGAGCTCGTTGATGACGGATTCCTTCTCCTTCAGACGCTTCGTCAGCTCCGTCACCGTGGCACGCAGCGAGTCCACCGCTTCCGCCTCAATTTCCTGAGTATCAACACCAATACGTGAGCAAAAAAATCCTCACCAAGCGTTCACTACCACGTCGTACCAGTTTCTCCAGCTTGTCCTGGTATTCAGCAATCTGGGCCGACGACAGCGCATTGTTGCTGCTCGTTACCACGACAGAACCAGGCGTAGGCACAGGCGCCTGCATGGCTCCACCCGGTCCCATCGCAACGCCAGCTTCGAGCGCGGCTGGAGTCGCAAAGCCCGCTGTCCCTGCTGCTGCGGCGCCCTCTCTGACTGTAATATCGTTCGAAACCTGCATGGGTTCCGGTCCACCCGGGGCGTTCTGCCACTGGGCTTGTACTTGCTGTTGAGGCTGTGTCTGGGCGTGAGTCTGCTGGAGCTGAGCCAGCATTTGTTGCTGCTGTTCATTCTGGATCCGAGTGTTACGCAGATCCTCCGAGAGTTGATCGTTCTGTTTCTGCATCTGGAAGAGAGAGACTTGAAGTGATTCTTTCGCCTTGATTGCCATATCCAGATCGTTCGCCAGTTCTGCCTGTCCAGCGTCAGCGTTGCCGCTCTTGAGCTCAGCATTCTCACGCTCGAGTCGAGCCACACGCTCCTTCAAGCCACTGACAGAGTCGCGACCGAGTAACATGTCGGCACTCAAGCCTCCTCCGTTCACTGCACTGCTCTCACCAGCAGCCATGGCGTCGTCGGTGCTTTCCCGGTATTGCATACTTGACAGTTGCGTACGCAGCTCCTCCACTTGAGACTCGAGGAACTCCTTGCCACCCAGCGCACTGTCCAGCTCTTCTTGCAGTCTCCGAATCTTCTGTTCCTTAACGTTGAGATTGGAACTGGCCTGTACGTTGGCGGTCTCTAATTCCACAACCTGGTTCTTGTATTTCTCCACTAGACTCTTCAGCCCAGGCATCGTCTTGATGGTACTCTCCAAGTCCACCACTTTGTCCAGATACTGAGCGTTGAGAGTCTCGAGCTCACGCACCTGACCACGCAGCGAGTTCATCTCCTCCAGTTTCTTCTTGTACTTGGTCACGCTCGCTTCCAGTTTGTTCAGCGTCCCCAGCTTGGAACGTGAGATGTCCAGCTCATCAGCCTGACGACGCACTTCGTTCTCCAGCATCATCAAACGTTCTCCAGACTCGCGTTTGACTCGATTCAGTTCCAGATCTTTCTCCTCCATCTGCATCTGCAGAGCGTGGACTTCATTATCCACAATCTGTTGGATCTTCTTATTGTCTCGAGTCAGAGTGTTCTGGCGCTCGCTGCGCAGCTGGTCGCGCTCGCTTTCCAGCGCTGAGTATTTATCAGCCAGCTCTCTATGCTCCGTCAAGGTTCGTTCGAAGCGCTCCGTCAGTTCGCGCTTCTCGCGTTCCATATCCAGATATCGGAGCTCCATGGACGAACTTCGCTCCAGTGCCTGGGCCAATTGTGCAGCCAGCGCTTCATTCGAGCCGCCAGTGGCTATAGCAGATACAGAAGCTGAGGACGAAGGGGACGCTATTTCATCGAAGGACGCGCCGTGAGCCATCGAGTTCCGGCGACTAGCGTTTGATACTCCGCCAGGAGATGTGGGCTGGAAACGATGCATGAGATTCTCGATCGCGTGCATTAAACTGGCCTGTTCGGATGGACCCATCTGCATGATGGGGTGGATGTACTCGGACTTATTTGGACACTGGACGGCACAGCCCAGAAGTAATTCTGTCAGCTTGGAGACCTCGTGCACGTCATTCTCCTTGGCGATTAGTAGCGGGTCTACTAGCTCGTCTGCATGGCAGATCTGACCCAGTTCGTCTGTGTAAAATAACTCCACGGCTCGCAGCAGCGTCTTGAGATTGTTGGACTTGAGCGCCCAGTTGCCTCCTGGTTGTTCATTGATCTGCTCCAAGTTGACGTACTCCGCGTCGCTAAGGAATGGAAAGGTAAATTAAATCAGTCGGTTTGCCTGCCAAGAGATTTTATTGCTGATACAGGACGCACATGTGGTGCATGATTTTGGAGAGGAAGACGCCGTCGCATAGATCTTCCAAGCTCGAGATCTGCACGTCCGTCGCCAGCTTCTCGTGGAAGCTCTGAACCTGGATTTAAAGGCAGAGCAGCATGCATATATTAGCACTTGTTGACGCTTATTTAACGCTTGGATCCCCCATCGTGGTGTAAATATTTGAATCTGGGGTGGAGGATCGGTCGCCGGGAGAAATATAATAGAGCATATATGGAATGCGACTTACCCACAGCAGAAGACTGCGTTGTGCTGTGTCGTCCATGGCGTCCAATGTGAAGTGCGAGTCAGAGAGAGAGCGGCGTGCGCAGCGCCGCTTACGTGGTTCGGTATCTCTTCGCCTTCTTCGTGGTTTTGTATGAGGGGGAGCTACTGGAGCCATATGGTTGTGTTTATTACATAATATTGCGTTTAAGCTCACAAAATCTAAAGAAAACAGCTTTTATGAGAATCGGCCATTTTTGGAGCAAGTCATTTAGAGTTTGTATTGTGTTTCATAATGGCCGATTCTCAAGAAAGCTACTTCTCAAAAAGAATTTGTCTATTTTTGCAAAGGAATTGTCAATCTTTAAAGTGTACAAAGTCGCCAAGGGCGGCGGTTTCCGTGAGGCAAATGGCCAACCTCGTGACGCCTGCCACAGTTTTATTTCTCCTGTCCGAATGTCGCTCTCCCCGCGGTTGTCCACGGTGGAGATGTCCACCTGCTCTGAGTCGCGGTCATCATCCAGCGGTCTTTGCGGTGAAGCTGCTACGGACACGGGCGAGGACAATACAGAGCGGTCAGTGAGGATTCCCACAGCAGTCAGGAACACTTCGTCGCTCGACCATGACTCCATCGAAGGGTTCATGGTCGTGCATCAAAAGAAAAAGCAGCGTCAGCGCTTTCTCATGTCCAAATCGACACACTACGTTGTGGCGAACACCACGAAGCACACACTGGAAATTTACAAGTGCGTTGGCAGTCTTGAAGTAAAATTGCTAATGTTGCTGACCATTGTCTTGTTTGGTATTTTGCAGTAATGAGTCGCGCTCGGAGCTTATATACTTGTTATCTCTTGCAGATGCAGTGCTGAGTTTTGAATCGGACAACGCCAACATTGTGATGGAAAAGTGTTTCTGCGTGGAGGTTAGAACATGGAAGAAGAAAAATACTGTCCGCTTGCAGCCCCAAGGTTTCATATTCTTCGAGGAGAATCAAGCTCGTATGCTGCTTTGGGTTAAGTGCATCCACGGGGCTATTAAACGAGCTACCACGTTGGACAGCGAACTATTCCGAAGTCCCTCAACTGCGTCGTCGTCGATTGAGCCTGTTTGGAGCTACAGTGAGAACGATGAATCGCGAGTAAAAGTGGACGCTATCCCCTCCGTTACTGTCTCTGAGGAAGATTCTTTGTGTGCATCAAATGTTGCTAGCCCGGTCATAAGCCCTACAACCAGCTCAGCGTTTGCTACTGCTCGAGAGAAACTCACACAACGTCTTGCAATCGGATCTTCAAATCGAATTGCTTCGGCCGGTCGGACGATGATGACACCGACCCGCTCATCCAGCTCGAGTGCAGAGCGACAACCGAATCGCTGGGGCTCCATTTTTTCTTCAAATGACAAGCAGCATCAAACGCGAAGTCCAATGAGCAGCACAGCGACAGATGCTTCAGCATCGATTGAAACCACTGCATCTCCAAGGCTTAGCTTCAAGGGCAAGAGATCTTCCAAAACGGCCACAGATGTGTCATCAGAGACAGCACCCAGCCAAAATATAGAGACCATATCCTCGTTTCTTTCCCGTTCAAGTCGAGCGAAGACCTCGACTGCAGTTCCCAGCAAAAATGACATTGTTCCTACTGGAAACCTCGCAGAGGTGGTACCTGTACAACCTGCAACTACAAAGCGAGACATCAGCGAAGCATTACCAACAGAAGCAAACCAATGGGACACATCTGCTGAGCTGGTGGATGATCCGGGGCCTGTTGCGCTTCGCGTGCTAACAATTATGCTAACCATGACTACTATCGCTGGAGTCTTGGGTGCATCCGTCTTCCTTCCTATTGCACTGGCCGGTTCTCTTGCACATTTCTACAACCAGCATCAGTGCTTTTCAACCTGGATTCTCTCTTCTGTTGCGGTGTATCTCGCCAGTAGATATCATGTGCTCTTTGGTATCGGCACTGCTAGCACTCTCCTTTATATGTGGGGATACGCTAGATTCAAGACACGTCGACGGTATCGCCTGCAACGAAAAGTTGTTATGCACTTTGGGGGATCTGAAACAAAAGAGGATATTGCTCATGTTGAGGTTAGCATCTATTTATCCTGTATTAGTCACGATACGGCTAACCTGTGTTTGACAGATTCCAAATTGGATGCGATATCCGGACGTGGATCGAGTGGAGTGGCTGAATAAAGTATTTGTCACGTACGCAGCCTTTTGCATTCAGAATTACTAGCAAGGTGGGTTGTCCAGCTTACTCGGTTGTGCTGTTTGTTTCCTTGTAGTGGCTGGCCTTATCTCAAGAAAGCTATCGAAGTAAGCGTATCGTCACTTCCGTGACAGCTGTACTCGAAACTGACACTTGTATCTTGTATAGAATTCGGTTCTTGGAAGCGTAAACCCAGCGCTAGACGCGCAAAAACCTGCATTCATGAGTTCGCTGTCACTCGTGCGGTTAAACCTGGGAAATCAGACGCCGCAAATTGCTAGTGTCAAGTACATTTCCGCCAATACGCTGACGGACGAAGTGACGCTGGACGTGGAGGTTCGTATTCTCACGGACAAGAAAACCTTCGCCGCGGATCTCAAGATGGTGTCGAATTTAGGGGCAGCAGTCTGCTTGTCGTTGCGTGAGCTCCTCCTTGTCGGCACCTTACGTATCACTCTAAACCCAATGGCAGAATTCTGGCCGTGCTTCGGGGGTCTCAATTTGTGTTTCACAGAGTAAGTCCGACTTACCTCTGAAAGCTGTGTTTACTTCACGCATACTCACCCTTCCTCCTGGTTGCAGGCGGCCATTGTTCGACTTCTCGCTCACCGCCGCCAAAATCAACATTGCAAACGTCCCGTTCGTATCCGAATGGTGTGTCCATTTCAACTTCGCTCTTGACTTAACAACTGCGTGCTAACATGGTCGTATTTTACAATCAGGCTCCACACCTTTCTGTACGACCTGCTCCACGACTACTTCGTCTGGCCCAACATGCTCAACATCCCGCTCTGGGACGAACATGGCAACCGTGTACAATAAACAGAGCCAAGCTAGCTCCACAAGTTTATCAGTGCAAACTCGTTAATAGCTATCTGGTATCGGATTCTTGTGTCGGAGCAGTTGTGCTCCTCAACACCGTGTGAGTGGATATGATCCCCATGTGCCCAGACAAAAAGCCCACCCCCTTCGAGTGCAGCATATTTCTAAGAAATGGTCTTTCCAATCACGATCTTGGTCTCGCAGTCACCGCTCGAAAACTGCAAGTCTCCCCAGTCCTAAATGCCTGCACTTGAGTAACTCCAGAATATTTCTCGCTGCATTAACATCTCGATTAACAAAAACATTTTGCCTTTTTTGAAGAAAAAAAAGCGCACCCAAATAAATGGGTACTTTTCATTCCGTGATCACACCCAAAGAGCTCATGTTCCCTCGTAGCCGTCAGCTCCTGCGCGCTCTAGCGCGTCGCAGCGCCGCATCCTCGGCCACTCGCTTCGTGCACGCTCATCCTGTGGCTGGGCGGGCCGCTGCCGCCCTGCAGACGCGCGCCACGTCGCCGTTCTTGGCTCGCAATGGCGCGCTGCGCTCCATGTTCATCCAGACCGAACCAACACCAAACCCGCTGAGCGTCAAGTTCCTGCCTGGGCGCACAGTGCTGGATGACCGCTTTACAACGGGCGTGGTACGCTGCTGTATACGACGAAGAGCTGGTTATTTGATGGCTAACGGTCTGTGATATTCTAGGACTTTACACCTTCCTCGGAGGAGGTGCGTCGCTCGCCACTGGCCAAGAAGCTGTTCCAGATCGAAGGCGTGACGCGCGTGTTCTTCGGTAAAGACTTCATCTCGGTCACTAAGACGGAGGACGAGGACTGGGATGTACGTGATCAACTGGCTGGGTGCTAAGTGAACAGTTTGAAACACTAATAATGTAACTGATAACAGGCTCTAAATGCTGAAATCTTCGCGACGATCATGGACTTCTTCGCTTCTGACGAGCAAGTCATGTCTGATGAGCCTATCATCACGGTGAGATGAGTCCAGATAGTTGAGAATGTTCTAGATGCTGACAATGACATGCTGTTTGCAGGACACGACGATCCTGCCGGACGATGACGAAGTGGTGGCCATGATCAAGGAGCTGCTGGAGCAGCGTATCCGTCCTTCGGTGCAGGACGACGGTGGCGACATTTTCTACAAGGGATTCGATGAGAAGACGGGCATGGTCTTGGTCCAGCTTGCTGGCTCGTGTGCAGGCTGCCCCAGCTCCTCTGTGACGCTCAAGCACGGCGTGGAGAACATGCTGAAGCACTACATCCCGGAGGTGCGTGGCATTGAGGAGTGGGTTGACGAAGAGCTCAACGCCGTGAACGAGAAGGAGTTCCGTACGCTCGAAGAGAAGCTACGCTCCGTCGGTATCCCCAGCGAATAAGCACAATGTGGAGAGCATGTGAATGGCTGGCAAGGAATAGGAATCCAGACCCAAGGATATCACGCAAGAAATCCAGCAAAAAAATGAAATCGGTGGTTGAAGACAGAACATTTTGTGGGTGGAAGGTTGAAGGCAACTGGTAGATCTCGGTGTATGACAATTGAGTACACTGCTACTCAGTATGGGCGTGACATGAACACCATTGGCCATTGGACTCTATTGACAGTATATGCGTCTTGTCGGGCAAATTTGGTCCTTTTTGCAGCGCGATTGGCTGGGTTGGCGGAGAAATCTGAATTGAAGAGCCCGCTGTTTCGCCACTATTTTTGTCTTTTTGCCTTTGCTTTATGCTTCGTTTGTTTTGGGAGTTGTGCGACGATGGAGAAAAAGCGACAACAGCCTCTTTTCAAGGTCCAAAGCGCATTCGCAAGCGAGGAGAACACGAGAGTTTGATCACCTCCACTTTGCCAGAGCGAAAAACAAAACGCAGACGAGTGCCAAGGATATGGCTGGTGGCACTGCGTCGTCTTGCAAGTAGCTTTCCATATCTGAGTGACGTCCCAGCCCGCCCAAACATCCACAAATGCATCCACGTTCCACACTCAGCAAGTAAGTGTTTGTTGTTTTTTTCTTTGATATTACGACAGTGACTCAAAGCCATTCTTCTTCTAGACCGTCTCCCAAGAGGAGCTTGTCATGTGCAGGTCTCGACGATCTGGAAGAGCTCCTTCATAGCTCTGATACTGCACGCGCTCCTCCGAATCGTAAACGCCACCACAGTTTAAACAGTGACAACAACTTCGCTGCCACCAACTTTGGGACTCCATCGTCACCGTCTCGACACGAATATCAGCCACCTCCTGCTTCCTATCCTGGGGCATTGCGCCGTCCTGAACTTCCCACATTTAGCGAGAGTACGTGTCTTCTATAATTTTTTTACACAATCACCATTGTTTTACATTTTATTATCTTACAGAAAATAGCTCGAGTGGAGGCTTCCAACTGGTTTCATCGACATCTTCATCATTCGAGTCTAGGTACCCCCAGACATCTTCCAACCAATCTCAGCCCATGGATCGTCAACATTCCGATGGCCAGGACAACAATTATCAAGACGAACACGACTTTGACAGTGAGTTTAGTGGGCAAGATGCCAGCTCCGGAGACGATCACGAGTATAAAAGCAGTGGCCACTTCTCCTCGACAGCTTTACCATCCCAAGATCCTCAGGATTCCTTCGAGCACAGACTGAAACTTGATCACGATCCGCTCGCTGGAAAACGTCTTGATCACAGTGTTTTTCTTCCACATTCTCATCGCACAGCGGGCAGCGAATGTTCCCCACGCGAGGAATTTCTCGTCCAGGCATTTGGTCCCAGTGGGTTCAAGTTGCATGGCACTTCTGTGTCAAGTAACGATGATTTGGATGACAGTCTCAGTGATGACAGCAGCAATAACAGGGAACATAGTGCATCGGGTCATGCTGCTGCAATGACAGACGCAGATACGGAACTCAAGATGTCGTTCAACGAGCTGGAGGCAGATATTCGCGGTGCGATGCATCAGAATCCTCACCATCAACAACATTCCCCCAGACTTCCAGAGCTAACAGGGCTATCTCATCAGCCATTTGCGTCACCTTCACACGGCTCGTTCGGACTCAATCGCACTGCCATTTTCCCTCGAAGTAACCAGGAAGTGCACCACGTTGCAATGTTCGGTCAATCACAGGACGTTCGCCCTCATCTCATTCAAACCCAGAAAGACACAGGATTTTTTTCACGAGAGCAACATCATCAGAGTCCCTCACGTGCATCACTGGCTAAGACACCGCAAAGTAAAGGAGCTAGTGCGGTTCAAACGCCCACAAAATGGCTTCGTGATGAAGACGAGCGACTGCGAGTAGCTGTGGCTCGGTTTGGTGGCAAGAATTGGAAAATGATCGCCGAGACGCTGGGGAACGGACGCACAGATGTCCAGTGTCTTCATCGTTGGAACAAAGTTCTTAAACCCGGTTTGATCAAAGGACCCTGGACACCTGAAGAAGATCGTATCCTCACTAGTCTCATTACGCGCTATGGAGTCGGTAAGATTCGTTGGTGTGACCTTGCACTGCATTTGCCAGGACGGATTGGCAAACAGTGTCGCGAACGTTGGTGCAATCATCTCGACTCCCGTATCCGAAAAGGTCAGTGGACTCCAGAGGAAGATGATATGGTATTTCGATGGCAACAGAAGTTGGGGAATAAATGGAGTGAGATCGCCAAACTGCTCCCTGGACGTACAGAAAACGCCGTCAAGAATCGATTCAACTCGGCTGCGCGGCGCAAGTGGCTTATGAACCAAGCGAACAAGTCGGCTGCTGCTGCTGCAGCGCAGTCGACGCCACCAGCACCTAACCCCTCGCAAGTATCTCCACATCAGCAGCTTCAGCAACATACATTGATGCAGTCTTCTTCGGCTCATCAAGAGGGCAATGTCTACAACGTCAATACTATGCCCTACGGAGGTGGAAAAGTATCGCCATTGCCCTCAACTGATGCATTAATGGAACATCACCCGCACAATATGATCCCACCACTTGGACGGCAAAACTTCATCCAGCACTACACTTCCCCAACTAACGCTTTATTACCCGGTGGTCCAGTTTTTCGTCCCGTTGGAAATGACCAGAGTTTCGATCACGACAAATCTGCTGAGGTTGGTAAGGGTGACTCGATGCCATTAGCACCTCCACCGACGTTTGTACCGCCTCCACTCAACTCGCTCTTCCATCCTCCTCCCGTCAATATCGCCACTGGTTCTAGCCGCAATTTGCAACATTTAGTCAGCCCCGCCAGTGGAGCGTCCCTCACTCCCGTCTTCCCATTTCCATCTCATCTTCCGACTTCAACGCATTCCGCTTCATCCAGTGTTATACTTCCTGCATCCAAGTCCATGTCTGGTGACGACAAAGACGTCGATTCTTCAATTCTCCCGTTGAAGGAAGAAAAACTCGAACGAGATGATTTAGTCCTCCAAGCCACGCCAGCGTCAAGTTCTGGTCCTGACCCCAGCGTACCTATGGACGACGAAAATATGAACAGCTTCCTTGACAGCGTCGCTCTTGAACTCGACGACATCATGGAATAAAATAGCAACGCTGTCCCTCTTTGATTTTTTTTTTCTTCTACTTACCGTGAAGCAACGTGAATTGCCCGTTTAGAGCTCAAGGGAACAAACAACGAAATGAATCAAACTCACAACATTTTTTACAATTCGTTTATTACCAATTGGTATGATAACCTGAGTTTTTTACACCGTCTCTAGAGTGCTAGAAGTCGAGTCCTTTGGTTTGTCTTGTTGTGAAACTGTGAGTGTGCAAGTGTCTTTGAGTCTTTGTTCAACCCCATTTTGGCCTCCGAAAATGTGCACATTTCCATTGCAGTCCAGCACAGCTCCGTGTCCCACACGCCCTCGCAACGCAGTGTCGGCGCTTCCTTCATCTGTATAAGCAGCAGGTTGCCATTCCCAAGTGTTCGTGTCCAACAGAAATGCATCACTAAATACACTCGTGGGTGCACTAGCGTCATCGCGCTGAGGATCCCAACCTCCGAAAACGAGGATCTTGCCATCACTCAAGAGCGTCGCAGAGTGGCCGGTGCGTTCTTGCGGAGGCACCCCAACTACACACGGGTGGAACCACGACCACACAACACCACTTCCTTTCTTCTCCACCTTTTGCAGCACATGCACAGCGTTGAAACTTTTGGAAGAATCGTTACCTCCAAAGTAGACGATTTTGTCATCACCGACGGCTACTGCGCTGTGGTATGTGCGAGCACTGGGAGGCTTCCCTTCCACTTTAACAGCCTTCCAATTCCAGTCATCTGCAGCCACAAACAAGCAGATAATTAGCTATCTACTTCTCACAAGACTCCATAAATCTTCAAACTTACCACTGTCCAAAATGTGCACTGAGCTCTGTCTGTTTCTTCCTCCGCTACCACCAAACACCACCACTTCATTCCCAACAGCAGTGCACGTGTGGCCGCTTCTAGCAGAAGGAGGAGATCCTTGAATAGCAGGCGGATACCATAGAAAGCATTCTGTGTCTAGCACCATGATGTCTGACAGGATATCGAGCTCTCCTTCAGTAGTCGCATTGCGCTCGCCCCCAAACACAAGAACTAAATTCTTCGAAGACAGATACACGGCGTCGTGCCACGTGCGTGTGTTCGTATCGCAGTTAAGCGGAGTCGACCAGCGGTGCGTCTTCATGTCAAACACGTGCAAGTCTCCCAGTGTGCATTCATCGTCGTCAGTACCACCATATACTACCACTCGCTCCTCTGAGATCTTGGTAGCGGTGTGACCCCAGCGTTCAGGAGGAGCAGTACCCAAAGCCTCCACTATTTCCCACTTCAAAGCAGCTGTAACATTATAAAATACTTGTCAGAATAGGCCACAGAAAGCATTCCCAATTCCGTACCTGCTGGTTTGGGTTTCAGAGGTCCGGTCATCAGATCCTTAATGGATTTACCAGGTGAAGACTTGGGTGTTTTATTCCGCTTCTTGTTGGAATCAGGTGTCGGCTTACGCGACGTCGACTGCTTTGGCTCAGGCGAAAAGAAGGCATCCACTCCTTCTCTTGTATTGTTACTCTTCTTCTTGCTTTTCTTCGTTGACGTCTTCTTTCCCGCTTTACCAGTTGTCGTCCTTTCTGACGCGTCAACCGCGTCAGTTGCCAGCTCCGTAGCAGTTTTCTCCTCCTCAGTATTAGTTTGTACTTCTTCCTTTGCCTTCTTTCCTTTGCTCTTCGGTTTCTGACTGCTGGGGCTCTGTGGGCTGTTCAACTGAGCGAGCAGTAAGGTCTGCTCGGCCTCATTGAGAAAATCCGGTCGCTGCCGCTTGGCATCTACTTCGTCGTCATCATCGTCACTGGCACTGAGGTCGATAGTACGCTTCTTGCTGGGACTGGAGGCTTTAGCATTTGAATTTTGTCCTGTAGCTGCTCACAAAATAGTTTAAAAAAAAAAAAAAAAAAAAAAAAAAAGGTTGGAACACGTAGTGATGGTGTGACGCTACTCGAACGTACGCTTGGACAGCACGACGTCCCCCGTGAAGTTGCGGCAATGGATCGTGAGCGACCCCGCTGTAAACTCGAAGTGAATTCCTGCCAGATTCGCGGGGAGATCCACCTCCACTCCTTCGTATGACACCAATGGCATCTTTGATCCACAACGCAAAAGTGACGACTGTTTCGTAGTTTTTTGGCGCCAAAAAACAGTGTGCGAACTTAATGTTCTTAAGTTCGCACCACGAGTGTTCTTTGTCGATGAGCATCAACGTGCAGCTCCACGAGGGAGTCGTGCCGTATCTCGTGTCTCCGTATGAGAAATTCTTCTTCCTGATTCACCACGTGAAGCTCACGGTCGAGAGCGGCAAGTACGTACAGATCGCTGTGCTTCTCTTCTGCTATAAGCTAAGGTTGGTGCTGCCAGCGGCTATCCTGGACAAGGTGGCTGCTTCTACGGCGGCGAAGGACGCTGCTACGTCTCGCAGTACCGCCTCGTATTCGTAGCGGACGCAGCTCGAGGGAATGCTGCTTACCAGTCATTTTCGCTGCCGTTCTACGGCATCCGCGACTGGAGTTTTGACGTGAGCATATTCGGTACAAGCCGCGGTGACATTGATTTGTCGACTTACGGGTCTTAATAGTATTAAGTTGATGCTGACGTACTGGTGAAGGTGCAAAGAGCTGGAAGGGTTACGTGAACCGTGTTCCAGGTGGAGGGTTGGTCGGGATTGGGAAATTTACAATGGAATTCCTGGTAAGGCCATGTGGGTATGTTGTTGTCTTGGTGTTATACTGACTGGCTGGTGCGCTTGGTACTCTGGCAGAGTTATGGCTTTGACGAGTTCCGCAATCACGTGCTCCCGTTACTGGAGAACTCAAGATCCCTACATCGTCGGTTCCGCGACCTGTCGACCCCATCCGTTCTGTTGTTACCAGGGAAGCTAGAAGGGCGCGGTGACGGTGATTCACGCCGCCTTGCATACTATTCTGCAGATGACCCCATGACTCTGTTTGTTGTTGACAAAGCTCCTGCAAGTGCGGAAGGCCATTGATCGACGCCATTGCATATAAATTCGTATTTGACGTATTTTTCTTGATTTTTGAACCTAACAACTGTGGTGGCATGAACCGCCACAACGAATCCACTAGGTCGTCTGCGACTTACACTGTGAATGCAAGTACATTTTTTTTGCGTTGGGACTATGATTCAGAGTGTGGCGGTAACATTCTCCAACCGAAATTGGCGTAATGCTAATTCCGCCCGAAGTTACTACGGTATTACTCCAACATGAATTTGCGGTGTAGCTGTGGGAACTGGACCAACTGAGAGACTAGTTTCTATAAAACCTAGCTTTTTATGCCGTCCAATACTCTGAATATTTTAGCTAGCATGCTGCAGAGGCATCGACTATTCCAGTTTTCATTTATATCCTACATCACATGTTGGATTTGCTCAACTGAAAAAGTGTTTAAATAACGCCTAAATATCCGCTACGTAGGCTTACTTGTGTGCAAATCGGGCGTCGATAGAGACAGAAATTGCCACAGATTCATCTTCAGATCTCATTCTGATACTCTTCCTGATGCCACAAAAGCCATTCCAGCAGCGGTCATTTTTTTTTTTTGGCTCACAGTACCCTCGCATATTCTTCAGCTGTCATTTTCTCCATACGTACTCTTCATATTTCCACCAACTCAGCTTCATAAAACGAAATAAAATCTGCAGCAACGCCTGTACGAAAAGAAGAAATAAACAACAACCTTTCAACTGAGAAAACTGTAACAAAATCTTGATGTGACACGAACTAGCCAGCGCCACCGCTACGCGGGGGTAATATATGTTTGGTCGCAAACCCTTTTTAGACTACCTTTTGTCTATTTAAAACCAAATTAATCGCTATGCGGCGAATAGATATGTTTGGTCGCACTTGTAAATGTCTTTCTCGCCTCCGCTTCGCTTCGGTGGGATAATATCGTTACTGAACTCTTTTAAACTACATTTTGTCTTTTTAAGACACTTATTAAGTCTTCTTTTCTCATCAATTAGTGACACCTAATCGACTACAAAATACTGAATACTTTTAAACAATTTCTATACCCCCATACAAACAGTGAAGCGTTTCTTATTAGTATTAGGTAAAGCAATCTAGTACCTACTTGTACAGCTACCACTACGTATTCGAAGAGTACACTGCACACTTTTTAGATAAAATTTACTGTGTTGGTATAGTTATACGCATGATTTCTCAATGAGGGCCATGATAGTGGTACAATACACAATGCCTATGAATTACACTGGTCAACCTAGAGCACATAAGCACGGAGCCACGAAAGGGCACGGACAATCACGGAACACAGATCCAGGAAAGTACACGGAAGAGCACGAACCACGGAAGAGTATGGAGACCAAGGAGTAGTGCAGAACCACGGAAGTGTCTGGTACCGCATGAAATTACGGATTATAGAGTAGTTCGTGTACACAACATACCGACGTACTCGGGGCCACGAACGTACCCGAAACATCGAAGTACAAGAGCAGAATCTAAAGCATGCAACAACAAGAAATATATGGAGATGCGACCACCTCATCTCCAACCATGTCACCTCCGTCGCGAAGCGGCGGCGCTCGCCTAGTCTTAAACATCAACGCTAGCACGGTGTGATATTCTAACAATACTAAGAGTTGTGCAAACACTCCTGACTACCAGATCAATAATTCATTTTTGATCTGGTAGTCAAGCTTAAGCCCTTGGTTTTGTGCTCTTCCATAGCTCGGTTCGGAGTTGATGATTACTTTCAATTCTGGGTTTCCATACTTTTCCTTTGCTTTCATACCCTTTACTGTTCCGTGGTCTTCAAGGGATCATGATCTTCCGAGGCCCACGTCCTCTTTCGTTTGCGCCCTCGTCGCTGCATGCTCATCCGTGGGCGGTGTTTTTCAGTAATTTCGTGCTCAGCATTGATTCAGTCCTCTTCCGTGGTCTGTTATCCTCAATGGTTCGTGATATTCCGTGACCTCCGGTGGCCTGTACTGTCGTTGGCTTCCGTGGTTCCATGCATCTCTGTGATTTGGCGGCCTCATCGTGTGGTTCTGTCCTCCATTCTAGCATGGTATCGTGCTCCATGGTTGTGTATTCTTTCAAGGTCGGTGTATTGCAGTCTCTTCTCGTTTGATGTTCTTTTGTTGTCAGTGCTCTCATCGCTCTAGTCTCTTCCGTACTTCCGCAAAAATGCTCCTCTTCCTTGGTTTGAAGCTCTTTCGTGTTTCCGTGCTCTTCTGTTCTTCATTTCACGCTCTTCCGTCGTGCTCGCACCACTCTGCGCGCTGTCATGTTTCCTTGGTTTCGTGCTCTTCCTTGGTTCAAGGATTATCCCTGACTCGGTGCTCTTCCGCGTTTCCTCGCAGTTGATCCTCTGGCGGAGTCGGTAAATGCTAATGGGAATTGTGTGGGATATAACAGCCAGTCGCTCGTGCCAAGAAATGGTGCGAAGAAACGTCGAATAGGTGACGATAATGCCGACAGTGAGTGGAGCAAAGGTGAAAGTGAATCGTCGGCTTCAGAGGAGGAAAGCGCGGGCTTTGCTGGCTCCGGTATCTTTGGATCTACGTCACTGGTGGAATGCCCAGGTCTAAGTACTACTATCTTCGGCACTTGGAAAGCTTTCTCGGAGTACTTTGAGACGTACGCTTCGGACACGTATCAGCCATTCCGGTGAGCTAGTTGTTATTTAGCAGTAATAATTGTAAGGTCTCATTGTGCTACTTTTTTGACAGCATTCGTGACACTGTTACGGTGGAAGCTATGAACAAGAAGACCAGAACACGCTGTACATCTGGAGTTCCTAGTGTTTTACCATACTATTGTGGCACCGACAAGGAGAAAACTAAACCTATTTACACTCGCACCTACATTTGCACTCACGGTGGAAAACCTAGATATCGTGGTACGTGGTACTAGATATTTTATTAGCCTGGTACGCTTTAAAATATAGTGTGATTTATATTATTGTCATTGTTATGCAGGAAAAAAACAAAGAAAACTTCAAAGCTACCGGTCTATAGGATGCCGGCCATAGTGACCGCTCGTATTGTGAAAAAAATTAGTCGCGAAGATTGCGATAACGGTGTGTATCGTGTTGAAGTCTCGCAAAACCTTACAGCGCACAATCACAACATCGCACAATCACTTTATCGACGGTACGCTGAAAACCGAAAGGTTGTTGATCCGTCCCTGCTTGGACTGGCCAATAGTCTTTACGAGGGCGGATCTTCGGTGAAGCGGATTCTGACGTTGAGCACTATAGAGCATCAAGCAAGAGAACGAGTACCTGCAGTGATATGCACGGCTAGTGAAACTCACATTCTTACAATATAAACTGAGATCACATTTCACGAGGATCTTTGTTACCTAGCTCGCCGTTTCATGCTGGCTATGAACTGAGAGTAATAGCATTGTTACACGCAGAGCTACTTGACATGAGTTGGCGACCCAATTATATGGGCCGGAAAAGGCTGTCTTAGGCGCTTGGTATACTCATGTCACTCCCCATACTCCTATCTTCTAGTCTTTTAGTCTGACACCTGCGAAATTAGTGCTATAGTGTGGACCCGTATATCCCAGAAGCATGGGTAATCTGGTGAATTAGTCCAGGCCATCATCGTTTTTCTGTAGGTATCCCGGACCTAATACAGATTTCAGTCCGGGTTTCGGTGTATTCGTGTGAACTACGTGGGTAAATCGAGTTTAACAAGAGCACGAAGGCTTACTGGTGTCGTTGGCCGTACTGTTAGAAGAGTAGGTCCCCTGGGAGCGGCCAGATTGCTACCACAGAAGGACAAATTGAGGCTGCCACCACTACCTGCCAAAAGGTCAAGTTTTTCTCTTGCATAAGCACATTCTGTCCTATCACGCCACTGCTCTCCGAAACATCAGTAACCTCTATCGATAGCATATCCGCGATAATAGATTACCGGTAGCTTCTCCACTACGTATTTTAAAGTCAGGATTGATCCGATTATAAACTAAATTAGTGTGGGCAACAAAATTAACCTGTGGAAGCAGCAACGTCCACGTACACTGTACTAATGTGGTTAATATATACCACATACCGTTCTGGTAAGTTCGCACACCACGCATGCAAGTACAAAATCTGTCATAGTCAACTGATTTCGCGCTGCGGCTTGCATGTATTTCTTAGTAACATAATTTACCAATTGATGGACCATACCAGATCATAGGCCAGAATCGATTTTCATCCAATTGTTTTTACTCATCTTTAGAAAAATTGACACTATTGGTCGATTGAATTATTTACCAACTCATGGACCACAAATTCATTGCACTCCTTCTTGCAAAATATTATCCACCACCACCACCGAAGACGATGAAGGCCGGCTTTACGGAAGAACAGATAACGGAATCAGTTGACCGGGTGCTTGCTGGCAAAACGCTGACAGCAGTCGTCTTCGCCAATCTCACGCACGACGCTTAAACGCTACTTCACTGCTCGACGAGAAGGGCGAGGACTTGTTCTCCAACGGCCTGGACCGGCTCCTAAACTACCAGCCCAATGTGAGGAGAATATTGTTACGCGGATAGCGGTCATGCAGCGCCACATGGTTCCTGTACAACCTTGGAAAGTACTGGAGGCAAATTATCGCCAACAAGACGACTGATCACAATGGCTTTCGGTCATGTGGTATCTTTCCGGTGTGTCTACCAAACATGCTGGCACGATTGACGAAGAACGATATAGGAGGAATAGTCCGCGGTGAACTCGGACTTGCTAACTGGCTACGTGTTCGAGAAGAGGCTCGGCAGCAAATGCTTTCACTGCCGCCGTCTCCAGTCCGCAAAAAAAAAAAAAAAAAAACTCCCATAAGAGAGATGCAAGCCAGCAAAAATACTTCGCAAGGACGACTTGTTAGTGGCACCACCACGGAAGGAACGATCCACCGATAATCGCTTGTCAGCAGCAGTGCAAACTCTTGACGTAGCAGATGCAGAAGCTTCAGCTGCAATGCCAGCTGTGGTGTTGGACAATGTTCCAACACCCATTGGCTCAGGTCTGGAGCCATCGTCGGAGCATTTCAGCGATCTTTCTTGGTCTATTCTACCAATTGGCATTACCGGCGATGGTTCAAGTGACGACGTTGCATCACAGTAGTGTGGGCCACACCAAGAGCGGACTTCGACTGGTTGTAGGTATCCGGATGGGATGCACGCATTGTCAGATCCGAACTGAGTTTAATTGATACTAGTATGGAGCCATGGGCTGACTTGATATTTGTAAAGAATCATCGGGAAGCTCATGTGAACCACTCAAATGCAGATCAGCACCTGATTGGTCAATAAGTGGGTCTGGCACCCCACTATCAGCCAATCAGATGATGACACTTGGCACACGCTAGCCGTGTGCCACTATGCCTACTTATGTAATTGGAGTTGGACGCATTACACGCTACGTGTCTAGCTACATATTCAGTGATTCCCTACATCATGCAGCTATGCTGTTTCCAGTCGAAAGTGCGCTGTGAGATTAATATGCAAGTTTGTATAGACTTTGAGTGGCCTATCAGTATCCACGCTACGCCACCCCACCATCCTTCGTCTCGCCAAGACGGAACCAGCTCGGGCCAAGCTTCCCTTCAAGTCCACCAGAGGAGTGTAACCAGCCCCGCCGACGGGTACACAAGGTGAGCCTTAGCAACCCCATGTGTGTCCGAGTGGATCGCAACGCGATTTTGCGACTACCACTCCACCACAAGACGGAATCGCCCTTTCTACTTGAACTGAAAGGATTTGCGGAAGATTTGCTGTAGTACCGTAGTTGTATGAAAGGGGGCAAAATGCCCCCTCTGACGCCTTAATGACTTAGCTTGTATAGTATAATATAACCAGGTCAAAAATACCCGTTCACGAAAGGGTTAACCCTTTCGCGGTATAAGGGCGCGTTTTTGCCCTTTGAGGGGTCTGTGGAAAGAACTGTATGAATCAGTCTCTAAAAGGGCGATTTTTTTCACCCTCATACAAAAGCTCAACTGATCTGGTGCAACAAAGCATATTAGTACAATTCGTAAATATCTAGGCATATTTTAATCAAGGGTTATTCTTGTAACTGATTGTATCACCAAAGTATCTTCAATGACTTTTTACAAGAGATGGTCCAACACGAGTACGGTGAAATTGTAGCGAAAATAACGTCCGTTTAGAAATAAATGATCGGTCTTGTAGAGTTCATTTTAGGCAAGAGGCTCGCGCAAGGGTTAAAGTTTTTTAGATGTACATAATTTTGAGATAACCATCTAAAATTAGCATCCATCTGCATGGATGCTAACTTATTCCCCTGAAAGGTAATAAATATTATTTTTATTTTATTTCTCAAAGAGAGTGGTCGCGATATTGTTGTGTGGTTTGGAGGACTGGGTAGCCCCTCCACTAAGTCCTTCACCATGCCACAGTACCCACTCAACACTCGCTGAGAGGTACATGAAAATGCTGGCCAAAAGCCTCAAATTGGCTCTTTTATGAGCCCATTCTGAAGCAGCAACGGAGAAAGGGGCAGCACTGTTGTATTTTCGAGCTGGGGCTTAGTTGGCGCTATGTACAGCGAAAATCCTTATTAAGCCTTGGATAAGGACCTAAACTGGTTCCCAGTCTGGAGCAGCAACACGTGCCTTTCTCAAAATCCTCATGACTCGCACCACCCCACGCCCCACGACTGCTTCGGCCTGTTCAACCTCAAGATCGACGCCTTCTCGCTCCGCACGCCCTGAAGAGGCTACTAGGAAGTGCAATGCTCGCCAAGCATTTTGCGGCTGCAGGAACTACAGGCCAGTGTTAAAGCATTGCTCGCCGGCACCATGATATTTTGCCGGATAGTGACAATGACGAAGGCGCGGATCACCCTGTGTTGGCCACCTTCAACGAAATTAGTGTGGGTAGCGTGTTGAAACTTGCAAGCTTCACGGTTGCCGAGATTTTAAGACTGTGGAGTCGTTTAAGTGGCTTTATGGCAACCGTTGGAATAACGGGAAGGGCAACAAGAATCGTGAGTCAGGCATCGATGCTCCGTTCATGAGTCTTTGTGTGCTTAAACGACTGCCGCTGGGATCTGTTGGCAAACACGTTCAACATCGAGGCTCCAACGTTCGAGAAGAAGATCGTTAACTTCTTGAGGTTTTCTCTCCGTATTCGTATAAGATGTTTGTAGACCATGTGGAGCGCAACCGAATCTATACGGAAGGAGGTGCTTACAGGGCGCGCGCTCTAGCACTACCCAGCCGCTCGATATGCAATTGGTGTAGAGTTTTGGCAGGCTGATGCCTAATGGCTCACAGCAAGAACGAGCTGCCTAAGAAGCATAGTCTACATCACTACTAGACAAAGGTATCCGTGCTTCCCACTGGGCTTGCAATAAACTGCTCACACTACAACAAAGGCTTTCAAGCCGATGTCACAATTATCCGGGATAATATGGAGCTGCACGTTGTGGCAGCCACGAGGCCAGCTACAGATGACAATATGGCCGACGACGGCCGTTTTCGGGTAGAGTACCCTACTTCATGGGTCATTTTGGCAGATAAAGGCTATCAGATACTAATTTTGGACATATTCTGAATGATTTAGGTTTTGGACTACTTCTGAATGATTTAATCGAAAACGTCCAAAATTCTGTTCAAAATCTAGAAGGATCTCAAGCTCTTAAAAATAGTACTACGCTTATTCTATACCGGAGTTCACTTCAGCATTGAGAGTAGTTCAAGCATCCTGAGCAGCCACGACGAGACGGACGCGGCAGCGCCACCGAGATCCTTCACCCCTACGCAAGTTCGATCTGACCCACCGTTTGGTGGACATGTTCCCGCTCATCGGCTTTCTCCCGAGCGTGAACCGAACGACGAGGAGCATATCTTGGCGACCAAACTGCTGCTGCTGCTGAAGACCGCCAACTTGGCGGACTTGCCGTGGAAATCCTGCAAACTCTGCACAACTCGGACGTAGGGAACAGGGAGTTCGAGGCGCGTCGTGACGGGATCCTGCGAGCGCGAGTGTAGCCCCACGTTGAAGATAAGGAGGAGGCCATGTTGCTGCAGAACGAAAATCTGCTAAACGTCAGCCGCCTTGGCCCAAACACGAGCGCACGTACGTATACTATAGTAAGACACAGATACGTACAGCATGCTGGTTCTGACACTGAGAAATTATTGCTATTGCTTCTACTGACATATCACGCCTGTTGTTCTGGACGGACGACCCGTGCACAGGCAAGTACGTCAAGTTGCAATACGCATGCTTGTATTCCTCGCAAGCCGCAGCAATAATTTTTTCCTTCCAGTACTAATTTCAGTCATGCCACTCGATTTCCAAGGTAGTGAACAACCCGGTGTCGCTCATCGCAGAGAAACACAAGAAAAACGTGGCGCTCGTTGTGTACCGCAAGGAGGACAAGAATGCGGCCGTGTACGCTGCTGACATCCGCGAGGACAACATGCCTGACCCTGAGAACCCGCTGGACGTGAACTAGTCCATGTTCGAGCAGGATGGTAACTACCACAACTGCCCCACGTACCTCAAATCAATCTGCTGACTGACGACGAGTATCACAGAAGTGGAATGCTAAACTGTTTGTGTTGCCGTAACGCGCTCCGATAATCTGCAACGAGCGATTGTCGTCAAGTGGTCCAACCAAGCCCATGATACAAATCCACGCAGTACCATGATAAGAGACTCGCCATCCAAGTTTGCTGTGAAGAACGTGGAGAAGACGGCACCTCCTTTCCACTCGACAAGTCAATTCAACCGCAGCAAGCACACTGATTGATAAGAAAATGTTCAAGATGCAGATGCTACTCGACATAACAACAGTAATATGTATTAGGACTACATCAAGTAGAAGCTGATTAATGATCACTTTCTACGCTCTCAGGACATGATTGGTGACGTGCGAGATCGATTTCATTGCTCTTGATGGTGCCGTAGTTGATGTATATGTAAGCTAGCATCTCCACCTTTTCAACAGACAGTCGATTCCTCCGCTTGGAGTGTATGTGATCCATAATGCTCCATGCTCTCTCGTTTGCTGCTGAAGATGTGGGAATAGCAAATATCATATCAGCAATTTTCTTTAATTGAGGATAGTCTTTGTTGCTCATTGCATTCCAGTAGTCACGCGGGCTTGATTCAGCGTAGATTTGACGGAGTGCTTCTCCTCCGTTTCGTTTTTCGCATTTGAATCGAGGATTTCGGCTGTCAGCTTTGGATCATTAGTGATTGATGTTAGCCCACACCGTTTCGACATTTCGCGAACTTGGCTGTCAACATTTCTACTGTCAGATCCGATTAGGTCATCGAGATCAGTGGTTGGATCGAGCATGAACGCTATGGCCATGGCGTTCGTGTGCATGTAGCTCCAGCGCTTCTTGGTCTTTCCTCGGAAGAAGGCTTGGAGCTCAACAATTGGAAGTGGAGTAGCACCCTCGTAGACACCTCCATCTCGCAAGCGTTCGTCATCTGGCAAGGTATTCTGGAGCTCATTTTCACCAGGATCTTCGGCCATAGCACGGTCGACTGTATCGCTTAGCAGCGCCATTCTCCTGAATCATTGAGCACCCGAATTTCATCAGTGTTATCAACTCCAACAGCTGCTGCTGTCTTTGCCTCTTGTTCAGATAATGTTACTCCATATGCGGAATGATATCGGAGCCACCGGAACCACTTGTAAACCCAGGACACGTACACATTATCCCCTCCCAATTTCCCCAACGCTTTGATGATAGGTTCAAGTAGACGAACAATTGCTCGCAAATTGTTCCAGAATCCATTGTCGCGCACCAACTCCGTAATATAGAGTAGCCGTTTTTCGGCGGACTGCCGTTGCACGGTATCTATCTCTAAAGCCCTCGTACTCGGGGCTTAGGAACAATGTTTCGAGAAGCTCTTGACTTCTTAGTACATTCTGCAAACAGTTGTGCACTGAGTACCGCGTTGTTACTGGAAGCGAAAGGTTTCGAGCTCATAAACCCACAGCGCGTGTTCCTTGCTGTAGACGCTTCAATTCGTCAAGCAGGGCAAGGCGTTTGCGAACGACAACCCTTCTCGAGTGTATAGCTTTGATGGCGGGGAACTGACATACTTCTTGCATCCACAAGTTGAGTCATTTTGGCGTCTAGATGCTACACTGCCCGTTGCACTTATCATGGAACTGGCATTATCCGTCACAACAGCTATAACTTGTGCCGTTGTTTCGCGTTCGATTTCGACAATAACCTTTTCAATTTCTCCTGCGAAAAAGGTTGTGGTGTGCTGCTGAGATCGTGTTGACCACGAGGACCAAAACACAGGTGCCCCACCGCCATGAAGTTTACAATGTTAGAGCCGTTTGTATCTGTCCGACCATCCGTGACCAGCGAAACGTACTTTTGCTGGTTAATCATTTGATGACGTGGCTTCGATGAAGCTGATCGCGTGCACGTTTCAGTGGTACATCGCTAAGCTTATGGCGCGAAGGAATCTTCATGGACGGAGCCACCATTGCCATGAACTCTCTAAAAATCGGTGCTTCGACAAGAATGAACGGCAGAGCGCACACGAAAAATACCTGCACCAACGCCATTTCTTGGACACGAGAAGTGTGGTGGAGTGGGGTTCGCAAAATCACGTTGCGATCCACTCTGACACACAGTGCCCTAGACTGCCGACTAACGGAGGGAGTACTCCGATAACCGTGGGGTTGCTGAGAGCTCACCTTGTGTACCCGTCAGCGGGGTTGGTTACACTCCTCTGGTGGACTTGATGGGAAGCTTGGCCTGGGTTGGTCTTGTCTTGTCGGGACGCAGGATGGTGGGGTTGCGTAGCGTAGATACTCTTCAGGCTACGCGCCAGGTAGGTTGTCGATCTTGATCGACTTGGGGTGTGGTTGTCCTTTGCGGGGGGTTTCTTGTTCCTCTTCTTGCGAGGCTTGACCGCTTCCTATAGCGGGGGAGTTGAGGGCGAGAGTGGAGACGATCGACCGGCCAAGCTGCTAACTCCGGCGACTGACGCGTGTCCTTGGTAGAATTACTTGAGTACTGTATGGGCCAATGTACTTCCCGCTACAGTCCTTGTTCTTGAACCGAAGACACTTGTTGTTGATAAGGCAAATTCTACTCTGTTATTCCTTTAAGTCCTAGCGGTCCAATACCTTCTGCCCATCCTATAGATGTCCTTTCTACCCCCTCTGTAGCCTGATCGCGTGGTACTTACCATGGGTACAAATCAGTTGATGTGTCCACAGTAGATCGAATCCTTGAGGGAAGATTGCGTGTCCAAATGATTGCACCATGTCGATCCACTCAGATGATGACGTAATCACAGACGCGCCGTCGTCGTCCACGAGTCTCCGAACTGGATCGGGTCACATTCCATCAATCAGTCCCTTGTCCCCAGAAGCCAACTGTCACTTCACCACAGAAGTGTCATCAAAAGATTCACAAGTCTGGACTTTTGGACGTTTTAGACACTTTTAAGCACTTCAAAATAATATTTAACAGTTTAGACATTCTTTACTCGTCCAATACAAAACCATATCTACTGGCTACTGTCGAAGAGGGAGCTGTCAATTGTGATATCTCATCCGACCGTATCATCGTGGAGAACTTCTTTGGGAGGTTGTGTACTTTGTGGACCCTCTGCGCAGACAAATATCGCTGGCAAGAGGTAAGGTATGATCCTTCTCCAGGGCTTGACTTGCGTTGATCAACTTTCATAATGGGGACCACCCTCTGCGTCCGGAATATGACGATCATACCGATACTCAACCGGGACGGAAAGGAGGACGAGGTGCCTAAAAGCAAACCGTCAGGTGAGAAGATGTCGATAGCTACGGCTTGAGATAAATGCAGTAGACGTCGATAGCGAAGCGACATAAATGAGTAGCACAGAGTACTAAATTATAATTTTTGTGTTTGCTGAGTGATATTCAGGATCTTGTCATTTGCTCAGAAGACTATTGGTTTCTTTTGTTATTACTAGGTTAAAGGAAGTGTGTGGAATCACGTATTGCACATGGTGCACACGATCGGTATGGAGCCGAAATAGACTGTGTACCCTGTTAACAGTTAGGCCCTGCCGTGTGTTGTGGGTAACATCTAGTTAGGAGGTCTACTCACTCACTCACTCACTCACTCACTCACTCACTCACTCACTCACTCACTCACTCACTCACTCACTCACTCACTCACTCACTCTTCATCAGCCACTTAGGGCATCTCCACCGGCATTTGTGTAAAAACAAAAGTAAATATTCTGTGACGACAGACATAAACGGTGCATTGTACCTTATCCATACGCTTACGCAGAGACAGATAGTGCAGAGTTTTGGGCAATTTGGTCAGAACCGCGTCTTATCTGGCAGTGCGTGAGCAAAACCACTCGATTATATTTTAAAGAACTGGCGTATCATTCCCATCATCTTTAAGCAGCTCGCCAGACTAAATTTTGGCAGATTAATGAAATGCTTGAACAATGCATCATTCTATTCATCAAAGAACGTGCTTCACCTAAGCATCGGGCAATGGAATTATTAAAAAAAAAAAGGGAGTGTCCAATTTAAAGGGTGAATTTGACATGAAGTTGGGTCAAGATTGATACCAACAGTGTTATTGCGAGCACTTCTACATGTACCACGTTTAAAACGAAATTCAGAGCGAAAATGATGACTGCTACATTGGCCAGCTCCCAGCAAACTATGAGTGTCAGCACGTCACTGGCCCCGTTTTCACGAGTGCAGGGTTTGGTGAATTGATGCCGTTCGTTCAGCGCGTTATCGCTGTGCTCCGTGATGATTGTATAATCTCACTTGTAACATTAATTCGTACTGAGATGACAAACCTGGAACACCCGCTAGCAACATACGTAACGTTCGTTTTGGTCAAACGTGGTTCTCGAAGTGTGGGCTATGTCAAATTTAAGTACCTGGCATTCTTGCGTATTAATTACCGGGTTGGGTGGCGCCAACTTGTCACGGATATGCTTCTGTCCGGGTAGTAAGGTGTGAGGGTTGTGGCATGCGTTGCCTTGTCGCTATTCCCAGGATGCGAATGGTGCGTCCATCTCAAACCAGGAGTCGACATTGGGGAATCGTCGTAAGACAATGCACCGAGGTCACTAAGGAAGGGTGTACCGCCCCAGACTGGTTAACAGAGCAGGGAAAAACCCTCGCTCTTGGTAGTGGGAGGATTTCGTGCCAGAATTCTGATGCCACAAGACTTCGCTACAAGCTGCTATTCGATCACCTTGCAGAACCTTTTTCTGTTTTTTGCTTTGTTCTAAATGTCTTTACTAACCGTATTTATAATGTGCTTGCCAACATGCATCTGCATGATTGAAACTGTAGATCCTACTGAAGGAAAGAATCATGAAGTGGCACCGCCTGAGAAACCGGACACGAACTCGTCAACGACAATCATCGATTAATGATGCGGAAGCAATGGCCATTAGCTTCGCTATTGATGTTCAACGGAAGATGTTGGAGCTTCGAGAGGAAAGATATTCAGTGCCGACCAGACAGGTAGGCTCTTTGATTTTTATTAATTTTTTTTAAAGTTATTAGCGCGATGTCAGTCTATTTTTAACATCTAACAAAGAACTCAGTTAAGGAATTGTTTAAATCCGTGGAGCTGGCGAAGATAAAGATAGGATCACGGTTATACTGCTCGCCGACTCTGAAAGGATCAAATACCCGCTCCATCATCTTCTAAAAAGCTCTCGATCTGCAGTGGAAGGTAGGATATAACCAACTGGAGTACATGCGTGGTTTTTGAATTCACGGATGCAAAAACTATTATGGAAGAAGCTGAGTACTACGAATATCCAAAGAGACCTTTGGAAAACATTTTCTGCCCATATCAAGCATCCAGGTGCTGAAAATGATGCTCACAAGCGCGACGACGCCATCTTTTTTCCCTCAAGAGCTCAATCTGCTCGATGCTACGATCGCAATTGTATCCAGGCAAAATCGCTGTGTGGGCCCATGTCATATTAAGTTTTTTTTTTGGGAGTGTTGTTTCTTAAGTGGGCAAGAGAAGTATATTTTTCTTGAATATTGCTCCAGCAAGTAAACGAGAGCTACGAAGCGCTTGGGTAGCACCAGTGTTAGCTCGTCAATCTTCAGGGTGCTTAAACGCGTTTCCACTCTTAATCACTTCTTGAATGTTGTCGTTCTTTCCGATGCGAGAGGCCAGCATCTTTCCGTTGATGAGCCCGCAGGGTGATTCCTTGGACACACTCGAGTGCTTCATCCCGCCTTTCCACTTGCGATAGTCCCCGTCTGCGGTGATCCAGTTAAGAAGGACGTCCATAAAGACCTGCCCCCACCCCCCCCCTTTCAAACCATCTCGAGTCCATGAGATTCGTTGTCTTCCTATCATCTTCCATTTTCACTTTTTATTAGCTTGCTCTATAAAGAGCCTCAGCGTTTATCATAGCAGAATAATCATATTATTATCAATGATAGAAGACTACATAGCGGACAACTTACATTGTCTCATTAAGTCGTTGGTGCGCTCAAACTCGGCCATGCTATGCTATAGTAGTGGGTGTCAAATCCCTTTTTACCTCACAAATTTAGGAAGATGTTTTGCAAGTGATTGAATAGAAATGAACCTCAAAAACACCGCCGAACTCCAAGAAATTGTTTGGAGGTCAGAGCTCAGTTTTTAGGTCTACAAGTGAGCCAGCTCGCACAAACAGTAGCTCATGTCTTTTTAGCCCAGTGATTCCTTTGTGTTTGGAAGAAAACTGTCTTCGCGCTGAAAAATACTCACTCAAGGACCAATAGGGGGTTCATGTATTGTAGACTGGGCCGACAATTCCACAACAAAAGAGAACAATAATATTAGCCATTTTCACAGGTGGCTGCATACAACGCTTCCATAGCCTTCGTGGTAGAATTACTTCATTAAGTTCATTAAGATGCGGTCAGCTTAAGTTTATCTAGCGTAAAGCCCCCCCCCCCCTCCAAGGCTGAAGAGACGACCTAAAAATCAAGGCACAACTAAAAACTTACAAATATTGCTCCCGATCTTTCGACTGGATTAGAATCCTGCACTTAGGGAGCTTCACGATAATTTCTCACAACTAAAGTTACCACAGTCGTACTGATATGAGTTAACAATCTTAGCCAATAGAAAGTCCGGAAAAACGTGATACGACAGACAGCCAGACAGCCATTTTATTTATTTTTTTTGGATGATTTCTAGAAACCGTTTTCGTGCTTAATACATTTTAAAGTTCTCACGCGCTTTCTATCGATGCGCAATCCCGAAAACTTTTAGCGGCTTTAGGTTTGACAAGACAGGCATCCTTCAGCTCGCACAGCTATTCGCTCTCCCTGAGTTCGTGATCACTGTACACCACGACAGGCTACATCACACGAAGGCTTTTTTTTATTCTATTGCACCAGACGAACTGTCTGCTGCAACAGAATAAAAAAAAAGCCGAACTATCCACACCGCAACTACGGCGCGCTGACCATAATTGGTCGCTTGGGAACAGCTATCAGCCGTGCTTGCACTCACTGGGGTAGGTTGTATATTTTTCAAACCTACCGTACTTAATTAACCAACTGCCCAAATATCATAGTTATTAGATACTTACTCGAGACGTGGGTTTATATTATGATATGTAGTCAGACTTAGTAACATTGAAAATGTCACTCCGTATGACAAGACTTTTAGTTCTTTTATTTCCTAATGTTACTTTATATTTTACACCTTATCAATGTTTTTTACCTGTTTTTTAATTGGTTTATACTTAAGAAGTATTTGTTATGTGTTTAGTAAAGGCTCTATCTCATATTATCATGTAATACTAGTAAATGATTCTACATGTTAAAACTCATGTTTTTAATTCAAGTGATTGATGAGGATTGATTAAAAATATCTTGGGAGCGGTTCGGCCACGTACTCACTATAATGTAGTCTTATGTAAAAGTAGTAACATCGTTTGTTCTCTGGATATTTATATCCAGAGTCTTACCCGCTTCGGAAACCCTCGGATATCCTGTATCATATTATATTTGGTTACTTTTGTAATAACTCAATACCTTGAATTCACAAAAGAAGAGCTAAAGCGACGAAATACTTTATAACCTTTTAAGAT